TACACATACAAAACAGTATGGGAAGTAAAAACAGAATAAAGTACAGATCCCCAATCTAGCTCTATTGACAGTTACTTCATTCTAGAAGAATTATTTTTCATTTGGAATAAGGTTGAAAGTAAAATTGCCCATAAACACACAGTGAAAAATGCCCTGACCTCATCTCATCAAACCTCATGCAATGCCTTTTTTTTAATCACACCTGCACAAACATATATTATTTTAAATTGTCTGCATAAATCAAAGGTATTTACTGGCCGAAAGATAGACGGAGTACAAGCAATTGTCCGCAAGCCCTCGAACAGTAAAGCAAGGAAGAAACACCAACCCTGAATAATCAGGCAGTTCAGTGGATGGGAGGAGGGTACATGCACCACTTCTCTCAGACATAGCTTGAATCTGAACCTTGAACAGTACTCTTTGAGTGGGTTTCCAGTGAGCAGTATAGTAGGTAAAAGGAGGTCACTAATAGCATGGTCTTTGCTCATCCTTTCCCATTCCATTCCATTAAATGTAGCCATTTAATCTGCTGCAGACCCCCGATGACAAACAATGCAGGAGGGCAGACTGCCCTTGTAAAATTCAACTGGTATGAACGGACCCAAACATCAAATACAGCTGCTGATTGACAGCTTCATTTATATTCCAGTAAGGACCAGGAGGATTAAAGCCAGGTCCTTTCTACAATGCTCACGAGCAGCACTGAGAAAACTGTGAATTGACCCTGTCACTGCCAGGAGGATCTCTCCTGAAGCAATGATAAGACACAGAAAAGGGGTCAATGTGTTTACCTCTCTGCTCTTTTAAATCAACAATCACTTTCTGTTTATCCCCTTCAGATTTTCCAGCCCTACTTGGTTAGGTTTTTTCAGTTTAAAAACAAAATGGTTTTCATGTTTAGTTTGTCTAGATAGTTAAAGGGGACTGAGAAGCACTGCTTTATGCCACAAGCTTGCCAGAGGCACCAAGCACCTTTGCTCTSCACAGGCTCAAACCAAACACGGGCAGCAAGATCCAGACTGGGGCACTGACAATAAATGGACTTCAGACAGACCAGCCAACAGAAAGAGCTCTGCTTTCTCCCCAGCAGCACAGCCATTATAAATGCTGCAGAGGGGACCCACACCCAAGGCGAAACACGGATTCCAAAAGTTGGGATTTACTTCTGAATAAGCAGAAGCCAATCTGGGGGATGTGCCCTACCTCTGTTAGTTAAAGAAGCGCCTGGGGGTGGCTCAGCTTTGTGTGCCCATGGGGAAGGCAGATGGGACAAGGCAATCTGCAGCTGGAACAAAAAGCCAAGCCTCTCATGACACTGGGTTAAAATGATGCTACCCTTATCTAAAGGAGGGAATGGGGAAAAAAAATTTCAGCAGATAAGAATATTTTTAAAAATCTAAAAAAGAAAAGAGAAAAAGAAAGGGAAGGGAACAAAAATGCTACCCCAACATGTTAATCAGCACCAGGCTTTGCTCTGCTCATCCTACTGAATGTTTAAATACTTGGCTTATTAGGTAACAGGCTGCTAACTGCACCTCATTTTCCTTCTCTGGACAGAGAAAGATCTAGCCTAACCTAATTTATTCCCCTTTTTAACTAGAGCACTGCTTCATTATCAGATTCATGAAGAAKAAAAAAAGAGAMRAGAAAATTTTRTTTTTAAYKAAAAATAATAGATAATKTCTCAGTTTTATTCAAAACCGCCAGTGTTTCTTGTTCTTGAGAGCTTAGCTGAGAGTTTGGGAAGGAAGACAGGAAAAATCTGAATTTATTATACACTTGTCTAAGTTTTTAATCGAGTATACACAGGCCTTTCAAAGTGAACTCGATTTTTATTTTACCCCAAACTACTGTCACTCCTGTGACACAAAAAAAAAGCCTGTAGCTCAATTTCCCCATTTCTGCACCGGCAAAATACCGGAAAACCTTTCCCTGAAAAGTACAAAGCTTCAAGAAACTTCTGTCCCCCTGTGTTACCTTTTTGCACACCACCTGGAACATAAAGTGAATGGAAAGCATGAAGGAACGTGGCCCTCATCAAGCTAAAGCACCAATTCAGTGTTAGAGCCTGAGCAATACCACTCAGAAACAAAGAGACAAGAACAAAAGGTTTAATGATTTCTTCCCAGAGTACAGTCCAGGTTTGATCCTTTATGATCAGGGAACAAACAAATGACATGCACACCACTGCAACAAACTCACTGGAGCCCGTGGAGCTGTCACCAACATATGATCTGCCTCAAAGCACTTGACCCCAAAGTCCCTGTGCAGGTATGTGGGGTCTCAAAGAGGGAAGGGTGAAAGGGTGGAACTGGAACAAGCAAAGCTCATTGTGCCACTCTGCTCCCTCCTTTCTCCCCTGCCCCCTCTCGTGCTCGTGAGCCGTGCTGTGCTCAGTCACAGACCGCAAATGAGACGGAAAACGGCCTCACAAGTGCTGAGCTGCTCAGGACTGCCTTTACTTACCCTCCTTTAAGCTGTTCAAACACTAATAAATTACCCATTTACTTATACTACCCAGATGTTTGCCATCTAGAAAAATAGATTATATTTGTAGAGCGTTTTGTTCCATCACAAGAATCCTGTAAATAATATATTGGGATCAGAACGCCAATATTGCATGCTAACTTTTATACACCAGCTTTGGGGGTAGCAGGGAAGAAAAGAAAAGASAGACACTTCCTGACCACTAGACAGAAGTCAAGAACTTTCACAGGAGCTTATCAAGAAATGAAGGATTCACTGGAGTTCATGCTGTTGGGATAATGAGGTTGCTTAAAAATACAGCACAAAGGGAGAATGRGGATGACAAGTAATCTGAAAGATTAATTTATTAATTTAATTCTGAGCTTTTGCTTCCATATATATTATACTTTTATATAAATATTTGTATGTATGTACATGTATAAAATGTGCGCTTATATACTAAACTATAAATACATCATATATGTGCTTTTATATATAAACCAAAGCAAAACTTAAAATATATTCCATTTATATATCTATAAATATGACATAACATTTCTTTATATGTCACATTTTCCATTAAAAAATGCAACGCTAATTTTAGCAAAGCCTACAAATATAAGGAGCCTCAATCTTTGTTKCTTCTTTTATTTTTTAACATAAGATTTCTTAAGAGTTTGAGGAATGCTTAAAGAGAATTCTGGGGCTTTAATTGAAATGGCATGAAATGCTGAACATTTAACAACAGTGTCTTTCAATCCCTGTGTCCATTATGCACAGAAATGCCCATCAAAATCCACAAAGAATGAAGAGGTTTTCAATATTCTCATTAAAATCTGACTTTCTCTCATGGTTTCGGCTAATTGAATTTCATTTACAGTGGTCATGAAGTTTTGTACGATAGACAAAACAGTGATTTGCTGGTAAATGATGTATATAGGGAGGGAAATAAATATTTGAGAAGTTCTTAGTCCTCTTTCTTCAAACATTAGGGGAGAAGACAAAGAATACAACTCAAGCAAGGAATAGTTCAAGAAGGAGCAGCTTTTACAAGGAAAACTTTGATCTGGATGGCTGAGTCCCACTGCAAGAAATTCAGCCTGCTTAGCAATCTCGGACAAGTAGAGTTTACTGCAAGATGTTGGTATGAGCTCACACATACTACTGTTAAACGATTTGATTTGAGCCTTTTATAATGCCACTTGCTAAACTGGAGAGAGGAAAGAAAAGTTTACCCATTATAAGTATACCCAGTAGAGGCAAGGGTGACAAAGGTGATTATTAAAGGTAGGGAGCTGTTAATTAGCGATGGTGTAGATGATTAGAGGGCTGGGTGGGTTTCTTTTCATTTGTTTTGGGGTGTTTTGTTTTAAATCAGATGATTGGTTCAGCAGGGTGAAAATATTCCATGTCAAAAGAGTTTGAGCTCAGAGAAATACAGCAGCTTTATATGGATTGACAGCTCTGTAACATGAGACCAATACGCTGCCTCTGTCAAAATGAAGCAGAATAAAAGCAGCAGCAAAGAGTGACAGTCAGGAAGCTTGTTGATCACTGCATCATCTTGTTATTTAAGTCATTACATCACTAATGTCTCTCCTATTTATTAAACTCTTCTTACTAGAAAGTCTTTGATCACATAAATAGAGAGCCACGACTCAGACACACAAGTGATGATGGGCTGAGGGGTCAGAAGATACCAGATTATAGCAGCCTTGTAATTTATTGCACTTTATTGACACGAGAAAACTAAACTCAGAAACCTGAACAGTTTTCCTCTCATTTTTTCTCATACTGCTACCTTGCACTTGTGTAGAAAATAGCATATTTGATCTTCCCAGCTATAGCAAACTTGGCTGTATACATCACGCACAGTTCAGCAGGTTTTGCCACACTTTCCCYGTACCTTTCTTGATACAGAAATATAAAACCAGCTTGTGCGTGTGTGTTCAATACAGCCCCCAGCTGGTATGTTCTCCCTTTACCTGACATTCAGTTGGAAGCTATTGTGGTTCTGGAGACAGCACAGATGGGAATATTTCACAGGATCTTTCCCTATTAATCATCTGCTCAGGCCCCTCCAATTACCTCAGAGCCCTACCCTCTTGTACCAGCTTAGGCAAATCCATTCTCTCATCGATATTTACACCCTTCAAATATTTGTACACATGGTTATAATCCCATAAGGGGCAAGATGGYCATGCTGCTCTCACAAAGGATATTSTGAGTGAGGGAACACAGCACTCTGGCTGCCACATTCTTATACACAACAGCCCRGGCTTTGGACTGACTGGCTGAATAGCATCGTGTCACACAGATCTGCTCTGTGCTTTGAAGTGACACTAAAACGCTGGCCACAAGTGCAAGGGGCCTCCAATTAACAGAGAGAGCAGAACTGAACTCACTTATTTAAACCCTTGAAGAAAATGAACACGCTTGCTTGCACTCTGGGTTGTTTCCTGCCCCAGCCATGTGCCCTAYGAATCCAGAGGAGAGCTCCAGTTATTGCAATTCCACATGGCAAGGCAAGATACTTGCACCTTCTTCCTTTCTTCTTCTTCTTTCCTTTCTTGTTCTTCTACACCTTCCCCAGTGACCACTACCAGCCTCTCCTTCCAGCCTTCTACTCTGACCAAACGCAGCTCTTTGCAGGCACAAGTCTTACCCCCTTTCCTGCCTGTAGAAAAGCACTGGAGGAAACTGAGCGCAAGAAGAGAGGCACCAATGCAAGGCACTGCCTCTTGCAATAGCTCTGCTCAAGGCAACACATTGCTTAAGAACCAGAGCTTGGCAATTTCTACCATGACAGCGATGGGAAAGATCTCTTGCTCTACGTCCACTGTTCAACTTGACATCTGAGCACCATTTCACTCTTCTGTACACCCCTTTCCTTGTCATGGTCACACAGACCTAACCCACTAATGTCTGCAGACAATGCACATCAGATCCATGTACACACTCATAACAGCTAACAAGGAACTGATCAAAAGAAAAAACATTTATCCACAGGAAAACTCACTCTTTTCTTTTTCACATAGATTCTAAGAAAATAGATACTAAAAGCATCAAATTAACAGTGTTCCTCTTCCACCCCACACTGAGGAGGGAATCAGTTTTCACAGCAGATCCCAAAGCCACAGGACTGCACACAGGGTACACCAGATTGCAGCTGCTTTCATACTGCTTTGGTCCCAGCACTCAGCACTGTGTACCCTATGCACTTCCTACCAGTTCCCTTCTCTTGCACAGCCCTCTTAGAATACCTCACCCATGARAAAAGAAAATTCATCAGGGCATGTRAATTTTATTGAACCAYRTATAGAACAGGTGACCCTTTAAAGAATGACTCTTCCTCTCTGAAAGGCACACRTAGCAGGTTCCCTACTTCAGGTGTAGACTCAAGTGATGAAACAAAAATAYATAAATGTTTATTAAACCTTTATTGCCATTTACACCACCAACTTTCACACCCCAGTCCCAAGCTGTTAACAAATTCCCATGTAGTTCCAGAAGACATTTCACAGCTCCTGACAGAAAAGGGAAGTTTCACGAGGGCAGCACTCACTGGAAAAGTCTCTGCTCCCACCACTATCAACAAAAAATGTTTGCAACCAGCTGTTGGTGGAATAAATGTGTCCTGCCCAAAGTGTGTGGGAATAAAGAGCTTCTTCCAGGGAGGCAWGGGGCCACCTTCCTGTATACCTCATGATACATTTTTGTCTCCAGATTGTTTATGCTAAGACTGATCAATTTACCTAACAACCAGGAATAAAAATGATCCATAATAAGCCAAGTGAGCACAAGCCAGTACACGAGGCTCAGGTCAGGTTGCAGTTTTGTGTGTGTGTGTTACAGTTCAGACACAGCATCACCTCCTGTGGGAGCTCTGCAGCTCTGTCTGCTACCACAGCTCCTTTTCTCCCCCCCAGCTAGATCTGCTATCCACCACAGCTCTTCTAACCTTTATTAATACATATTGCAAATGGAAATAAATTCCAAGCACTAGAACAGAAGCAGACTTGTCCTACAACCCTAACGAATAAAGTAAATTGCTTTATTTTTCCCACCTTTTAATATCAGSAAGTTGTGTTTCCAAATAAATCCTTATAATAGAAATTTGGCAACAYGCTTCTGTCAACCCTAGTTAACAAATTAGAGCCCTACATTCTATAAATTTTTGCACTAAAGAATCTCAGAAATCTTACTGGCTGTCTCTGCCTGTACCTCACCGCTCAGCCTACAGACAGCTAGCACAGAGGCAAGRTACTACAGAACATACCACATACTTCAGCTTTGTATCTTGAAATCAGCAGTATTTGTTCAAGATGTCTAAAAAACTTTTGTGGACTGGCCCTTCAGTATGAAGGTAAATGACCTGACCAAGAGATTTGTTAGTTGATGGATCTTTAAGGTATTTTCTGTCATTCTAAATATTATACCATGTGATGTTGTCTASAGGAATGCAATTACTGCCTTAAAAATGAAAACACCTTAGTCTTTTCTCTTAAATTAATTGCAATAATTAGAGGTTTTATTTTCTAGTGGAGTTATTCAAGCAACACATCAAGCGACAGATCAGTATCTGAACCTGGTCATTGTCAAAAGCTTGTATTTCAAAAATGCAGTAGCCATTTCCTCCCTGCACAGTGACTAATTTCCTTGGTGAGTCAATCTGTCTCCTCCTTGCTATTCTCACAACAGAGAGATGTGCCACAATAGCAAGGTTCCCCCCAGTGAGCTGCTCAGCCAGCGTGGATCACTGCTCTGGATGGCATGGCTCCTTGGAGCAGGTTTTCTGCAAAGCCCATTCCCCTTTACAAGTGCCAAGAATCAAATCTTGGCCACCTAATGCAGCGTGTTCCACATGTTAGCTCGCAACATGTTGAGCAACTGTGTTAACTGAGATGGATAGTGCTGTCAAACAGAAATCTGGCTCACCAGGATGGAAACAGTGGGACATGCTGACCTTTTACATTCAGAAAAAAAAAAGAGTCCCTAAGATGACACAAAGCATTTCATATTGAAAACCAAAACAACTACCTTCTTGCAGGGCTTTTACTACCATATTGTGTAAATAAACATATGTACATGAGCTCTGCCTGTGTAAAGAACCTGAGCCGAGCAGAGCAGAGTCTGACAAAGGAAATGAATCACTATCASCCTGCTTGGAAAGAAGTTTGCACAAGGAGTTCATGCAATTAACCACTGCCTGGAACTCTTGGATTCAACAGCACCATTGCTCCTTCTGCTCCCACATTCAAATACCTAGCTRTACAAAACAACTAAAATCAACAGAYAAAATACAAAGCCCCAGACAGAATTGCTACTAAACTGCTCTAAATGTACACAGGTTTTACTGGTGATATGGAGATAAAACAAACTCAGAAGTTTCTCATCCAAAAGAATAAGCACTGATATGAAATAACCTGTTTAATACAAAAAAGCCTCTTGAAATTCAAAGTTCATTCTGAAGAGATATTTCCCAACCCACCACCTCCTGCCCATCTCCCTCAAGATTACGATTTYAGGTTTGGGKWTTTTTTRAGCTGATATTTTGGGTAGAGAGAGGAAAGAYTTGTTTATTTTAAGATTTTGCTGCTAACAGAGCATCATCTCTGAGTGGAAGGGACTGTAGAGATTTATAAAGGGCTTTGCAGCTATATAGTGGGTAAGTGAAAGCAGAAATCAGCCTGCACATTTAGCCCGATAACTATGTGCTATAAAGAGAGCATGTATACATATGTAACCATTATCTACAATGCATAATTTAAAAAATAAAAGACTACAATACGCTGCTCAAACTGCCCTGATACAGGGAGGACACTGGATATTATCTAGCTGTACACTGAGAGGCTCCATCCCCTGTGCTGACTCCCTCGAGGCAGCAACTTGCCTTGTGATACACAACAAGTGTGTCATGAATATCCTGACTGATCATTATCACCAGATTTCACACCTCAGCAAGATCTAGCTAATGCTTTCTAGGCAGGCTAAGAATGYAGGGCTTGTTGTACACCTAGTTTCGGCTTAAGCAATTAACACAACTGATACAAACACTTGCAAGAGTTGCCACCAATTTTCTAGCTTTCTSCTTACATCAAACAACCTCTCTTCTGCAGTGTAGAGAAGGGGGAAAGAACTTKATTGAATACCTTGTGCCTGAGCTGCAGAACTGTGGGAATACCCCAGAGCCAGGAGCGCTGTCTCCACCAGCTGGCTAAAGAGCACATCTTTGCGAACCAGAACGAACTCGGCATGCTCTTCTCGATTATCGTATTCAAGAGAGGCGTCCGACTGCTCCACCACACAAAAGACTGGAATCATCAAACCTAGACGGAAAAAAAAGACCAAAAAAAAAACCAAAACAACARAGAATCAATAAGAGGATTAAGAACTGTGTCACACATCTCTGATCAAAGTTGTAAATTARCACACCTCCTAGAAAGATTCATCATAAGTGGAAATCTGCCTTKCTTCCTTGTGGGATAACTTTTGTTTTCTTTCCAAGGGAAATACTGAAGTCTCATCACTTGACTCATTTAAAACCACAGTAAAAGCTCTAGAGAATACAGTTCGGGAACAGAATCATAGTCACTATGAAGATGAACAAGATTTCCTAGTAAGACTTTTTCAACACTGCACAAGTTTTCTACAGTTCCATTAATGTCCCTGTTYCTTTCAGGTCATTTCTCCACATTCAGCCATATGAAAACCTGACACACAAATGCCATTTCTGCTTCTCTCTACACACAGAGTGTATGGGGAAATAAGCAGAGCCTGGTCCCCTAGGGGGACCCTGGGATATTTGTGCATTTTCAGACCATGGCTAGTCTTCACACTGTACAAGGAAAATACTCTTGCATTGATTTTGTTGAAAATTTTAATCTTTTGTTGACAGCTGATGGTCACTCAGAYCCAGTGAGATCCATGGCTGTCTTTCCACTGCATTCATGAAGAGTGTGAGAAAAACTTTCAGAAATAGGATCAAGGATGGAGAGGAACCACAGAAGTGGAAAACTCCAGGGGTGGTCTGGGATCAATTTTGTTCTGTTTTATTTAAATTTGCTTTTGTGGTTACAGGATTGAGTCATCTATGGCATTAGATACATTGTGGGGCATGAACTTAAAGGGATTCAATACTACACCAATTTGCAKGGAACAGCCCTACAGTACATTCAGAGAAGAAGAGGGAACAGAGAGAAAACCTACAGAACTTCACAGCCATTTCCCACTTACTACAGGCCAGGCTACCTCCAGTCACAGAAATTTTTTAACTGGTTACATACAATTTGGTTTCTAGTAAACTAGAAAATATTGATGCAGAGAACAATCTGAGCCTAAAGTCATTTTCCAAACATGCCAGCTAAGGTTCATAATATGACCAGAAAGTTCACCTCTAAATCTTGTTCTTCAGAATGAAATAGTAGTCAGTAACTATAAAAAATATCTGAGTATATTTATGAACTCCAGACACAAATCACTGTGCTGTTGGACCAGACACTTCTTTAACGGAAAGAGAGAGCCACATTTCAGTTTTCCTTCACRAATCTATTAAATAATTTTTAAATTTTTAAATAATCTTCTACTATCAGTAGCTTCAGTATCTACAAATCAATAGCTATAAATCRCTTCAGAGGAATCACCCTGCCCTGAAAGAAATACAATCACACCAACAACTGCTAAGGAATTTAAATACTCCTCTCGAATTTCCAAATATAACATCTACTTTGAAATATATTTTAGATTCRGAGTTCTCACTTAGTGACTTATCTAGCACAGAGTGGCTCTCAATCTGACATTCTAACTGCAGGAGCTAAAAGCTACAATATCCACTTGATGCGTTTTAGTTCTTTGTTTTAAAATACATCCAGAAGTAACATGAAAGAAGGTTACAGCAACACATTGATACTGCTCCCTTTTCACTGCTTGATTCTGGGTTAAACTGATGCATTTTGCAAGTTCAAGCAGCCAAATTCTAACACACAGTGCTAAAAAAAACTCAGAGCAAGAAAATCTCTAAGTGCTTTCCTGAAGAGACAGCACATGGCTGATCACGTTCCTCTGAAATCAGTGACAAAATTTATTTTCCTATCAAAGGCTAAAACTTGAATTCTATTTGTCCATACACCACTTAATTATTTCAAATGAAAATAAGTCTCTTTAAGTGACAAACTTCCAGTCCTGTCGAACACACAGGCTGTCACAGTACTTTTGATAGGGCTATTAATGTCTTAGCAAAAGATTAAGATAATTGGCCAAATGCTGAGGCTGTAATATCAGTTGTGTAAATTACATTTTGGCAAGACAGAAAAAGTGGTGAAGCAAACTGRTGGGAGGGATGTCACACTGTCTTTTATGCTCCTGCTGGAAGCTTTCCTTGTCATACAACAGTCTCCTTTTCAGCACAGAAGGTGCACCTATTCTCTGCACCCAACCTTTACTGTCTCAGTACAAACAGGATCTCAAATACTAGAATTGATGCCATATGTGATATCACTTTATGGATAAAACTAAGGATCCCACATGACTCCTGCCCATGATGATTTTCCTGCCCCTTCCTGCTGTCCATGCTTGCAGGGACCCTGCTAAAGCTTTTGAAAAAATACCTCTGAACTCAGTGACCCAGAGTAACTGATGATAAGCTGCTATTAGTACCTTAAAAACAGAGAGCAAAGGGCAGGTTACCAAATCCCTCATTACTGACCCACTCTCATGCCTCTCACTGTAGCATCTGGAATATTAATACTGATTTTATTTTAAAAGTAAAATAAAAAGCAACAGTAATCAAACTTATTTCCAAGTCAATCTCACTCCAAGAAAGTTTTCACTGCTTTGCTTTCTATGCCACATCAGAGAGTCAGACTGTCATATCTCCAATGAATTTACTCCCTCAAACTTCTCTGTTATCTGAAAATAAGTTAATGTACTTTCAGAATGTTGGAATCAAAAGGAAAACCATCTGCAGAGGCCACCATGCTCTTTACATACTGATATACATCACAGCTCACTCCTATATGCCTATATTACAGGGCCCTTAGAGAAGAGCAACACAAGTTAGTCACTACTCACTGTCATTSCAGCTGAAGAACTTGGAGCAGCACTCAGAGAGCTGGAGCCCAAGCATCCACAATGGTCTCACATGCAGTGCTACTGCAGCACAAGGCAGCTTTACTCATAAATGCTGGAACTCCTCAGCTCTTTCCCTACCGAGCCATCAGCCAGAATTGCTGTCATCCTCCCCGGCACTGAACTCGTGTGCACTCACTTTCCCAGCTCCACAGAAAGGCTGCAGGCAGTGATGCTGCACAGCTCATGGTACATGACACACAGCACTAATTTCACACAGACAAAATGAGGAGTAATCTGATGGCCAAAAAAGGAAAGCATTTGTTTCCTTAAAGGACGAGCACAATGCTGTACGCACACAAAATATTAACAGCAATCACAAATCATGCTAAAGACTTTTTCTCCTTGATTTTGATTAACATAACTGATACATAAACAGCTCTTTCGTGCTTCCCACAGAGCTTTGACCCCATATAGATGGCATCTGCATGAACCAAGATCTAAAGAAAGGCTTTTATAAGGGCATCCATACACAGCAAGAATTCCACCTAACCCGTGAAAGAAAGCAGTGAAAAATTGTTCCCATCATTACTCAGATGAGAATGGTTAGCAGTAACCAGTACCTTTGTATAACATACACATTTAAATCAAATCAGAGATGAGATTTAAGCTTCACTGTTGCTTTCACAGAAAAGCTGCAATGTACAGAGACACTTCGTAAACACACTTGCATTTTTTGCCAAGACTCTTCTAAGTAGCAGAGAAATTAAGAAGAAATTAATATGTATAAAGGAGACCAAATGCACATTTTCTCCTCCTTGCTCATTTTTATCTATAGTTTTATTTCACTGAGGAGCAATCAATTCTTACAAAATGAAGGAAAGACAAATAGGTATTTCACTAGTGAAAACCCAAGATACCTTGCTGCATAAAGCACCCATTTTTACAAAATAAAAATACTTAGAACCAGTTAAAAGTATTATCAATCTGCAATCATACAGCTCCCTGAAAAACATTTTCGGCTGCAAGATTTCCTAGTAAGAGCTGCATATTTCTAATGACAAACTAGAAGAAGAAGAAGAGAGCAGATATTAAAAAAGTCCTGCACTGTTTCTTTTGTTCATTTGCAAATAATACAGTATGTGCTTTTTAAAGTAATACACGGGAAATATTGGCACTGAACTTTTATACATTTCTGCCTCCACAGAATCATCATAGGCAGAGCAGAAAGATGAGGAGCAGGTTACACTTACAGCCACCCACCTCTCCAGCCATTAAATAGGGAGCAGTGTTTGCATGTCCCAGGAAGCATAAAATGAAGATCAGCTAGAAAGAAAAGACACCAATAAAATTCATGTCTTTTTAGATTAAAATCTCTTTCCATCAGGACAAGTTTTGAGTCCCATCAAGGTGTTATTTAATCTAATTTGAACAATTTCCAAACATCAGGTTGATTAATTTCAACTGCATGGTGTTATGGAAAGATTTAGTGTGGAAGGGTTGTCTAGCAGGGAATTAATAAAGAAGCCAGTTCCTTGTCCTGAGTAACATGAGGTTTTAAGATTTCCCAGATTTCTAGTGGGAATACTTCACAGCACAAGCATGTTTTCTTCTGGGAGTGAAACACACCAAAATTATTAAAAAATCAGATCAAATGGTGGTGTCAAACCCAAAGGAAATCATCTTACAGTGGAGAGATTTTTATCAAGTGAAGAAAGTGGAAAATAAAGTTTTTATTGTTGCTCTTATGCTTTGGGGTTTTGGGTTTTGTTTGCTGGCTGGTTTTTGTTTTGTTCTCTTTTAAACAGAACACACACACACATGCAGAGTAATCTCCCTCAAAAACAAAGCAAATTTCTATGGTTTGGGGTTCAGAAACTAAGACATGTACTTGAAAATTCATAAACTACTGAAAACTCTTCATTACTCTATGTAGAAAACATTTTCCCAAGCAGAGACTGTAACATGGGTCACTCTCTAAGCTGGTGTTTCTAGTACAGAGAGAGAGAAAAAAAAAATAAGGAAAAAAAAAAATCTAGGCAACGGCAAGAGCAAAATCCACAAATATTTATTCCCATGCACACCTAAAAACATTGAATTAGAAGCAACCTTGGCTGGACTTCTAAGATGAGATCCTTACCCTGCAACAGAAACTAGGAAGCCAAATTAGCAAAGCATGGATTGTCTTGAGGAAATTATCTAGATAAAGATTCCATATATTTAACAATAAAACATGCTTCCACAACTGGCAGTAACCACAGGA